GAGGATACTGCTTTTTCCAGTATCTTTGACAGAAAAGGCAGAATCGACATTGGCCTGTTATTGACTAATTCTGTAGGATCAAGTTGCATTTTTTTTAACAAGCGGTTTTATCATAGACAGCTTAAAGGTTTTTGGTATGCGACAAAGACAAATTAATGATATTAAGAAGAGGATCTATGACCTCTGGAAGCATAGGGTCTAGCATACAAGTTGTCAATTTTTATGAATTAACGAGTTTGCAAAATTCTTCCTCTCCTAGCAACAAATGAACCAACTTTTTCCTCAGGAAGTCTACAATGCACACCCTGATGCGATACTGTAGTAGACAGTTGCATAGTTATAATTTTGTCCCTGATATTATCAATCTTATAAGTGAAGAAATTCATAAAGTCATTACTACTGTCACGAAGGGCAAGGAATGAAGTGCAGAGAGAATCCATGTGCTTAAACTTATTTAATGAAATAAAAACATGTAACGTAACCAGAAACTCAAGGCAGGAACACAGAACAGCGAGACAGTAACATCAACGACTGACAAGGAACAACTAAACTACAGGGGTATAAATACAGGGGAAAACTAGCTAGACAAGATAACAAGGGGGTGTGGTTAACAAGAAACACCTGGGGAGACTAATCAAACTAATGGGGAACTGAAAACATGATAGGAGACAGGGGAACACAGACTTGAATTATGACATAGCCCCCCACCTAAGGAGCGGATTCCAGACGCTCAAAAAAACACAAAAGTACAGGAGGGTGGTGAAGCGGAGGTGGTCTCGGGGGAGGGACGGAGGGCCAGACCCGCACTGGGAACCAATACCGGGATATAGCAAGGCGGGCCTGGGCCGTGGAGCATGGGCGACGAGGGCGGATCAGGCTGTGCAGGCGGCCAGGGCAGAGCAGGATGAGCAGATGGCCAAAACGGTGAAGACCCCTCGGGTGGCCACGGCATTGAAGACCCCTCGGGCGGCCACGGCGGTGAAGACCCCTCGGGCGGCCACGGCGGTGAAGACCCCTCGGGCGGCCACGGCGGTGAGGGTCCTTCGGGAGGCCACGGCGGTGAGGGCCCTTCGGGCGGCCACGGCGGTGAGGGCCCTTCGGGCGGCCGTGGCTGGACTACTGGGCCCCCCCAAAAAAATATTTGGGCTGAGTCCCCGGGTTAGCGGCAGACGGGGAGTGGACGGTCTCGGGCTGGATGGCCTCGGGCGATGGCTGGACGGCCTCGGGCGATGGCTGGACGGGACTGGTCGGAACCAGCGGTGAGGGGAGCTCAGGTTCGGGAGGGCTGGACGGGACCAGCGATGAGGGAAGTTCGGGCTTTGCAGGGCTGGACGGGACCAGCGATGAGGGGAGATCCGACTCGGGAGGGCTGGACGGAACCAGCGGGGGAGAGAGTTCAGGCTTGGGAGGGCTGGACGGAACCAGCGGAGAGGGTAGATCTGACTCGGGAGGGCTGGACGGAACCAGCGGGGTGAAAAGTTCGAGTTCGGTGGGACTGGGCGGAACCAGCGATGAGGGGAGATCGGACTCGGGAGGGCTGGGCGGAACCAGCGGTGAGGGGAGTACCGGCTCGGGCTCGGCAGGGTTGACGCGGAGCACAGGCTCGGCAGGGCTGTCGGTGCGCGCAGGCTCGGCAGGGCTGACGGCGAGCGCAGGCTCGGCAGGGCTGGTGTTGATATCTCGCATAACACGAATATCTGGCAGGGTGCAAAGATCTAGTTGAGCCCGCACATCCGACAGGATGCGCAGGTACTCAGACCAATTAGGCATAGCGGCAGTCATCCTGGGGATTCAGATCAGGCGAGGGCACCTACTTAGCTGCAGATTTTCCTGAAGTCCTGCTGGATTCATAGGTGGTCAGTCATTCTGTCACGAAGGGCAAGGAATGAAGTGCAGAGAGAATCCATGTGCAGAACTTATTTAATGAAATAAAAACATGTAACGTAACCAGAAACTCAAGGCAGGAACACAGAACAGCGAGACAGTAACATCAACGACTGACAAGGAACAACTAAACTACAGGGGTATAAATACAGGGGAAAACTAGCTAGACAAGATAACAAGGGGGTGTGGTTAACAAGAAACACCTGGGGAGACTTATCAAACTAATGGGGAACTGAAAACATGATAGGAGACAGGGGAACACAGACTTGAATTATGACAACTACTGTGTTGTTTGGACACTTCTGGGCTTGAAGCTTTCTTTTTCGTTAGTTTAGCCACTGTTTCAAATAGATACCCAGGATTATGTTTATTTTCTTCTAATAGGTTTGAAAAATAAGCAGATCTAGCAGTTTTTAATGCATCTCTGTATGCAATCGAGCTCTCCTTCCATGAAATCTGGAATACCTCTAATTTTCTTCCAGCTACACTCCATTTTTCTGGCTGCTCTCTTAAGGGCCCGAGTGTGCTCGTTGTACCATGGCGTTGGACTATTTTCTTTAATCTTCTTTAAGCGCAACGGAGCAACTGCGTCTAAAGTGCTGGAAAAGAGAGTTAAAAGTTTCTGTCACGATATATCGAGTTCTTCTAAACTATCCGGGATGCTAAGATGATGAAACTGATTAGGAAGATTATTGATAAAGCTATCTTTAGTGGCAGAAGTTATAGGTTTAACATATTTATAACACGGAGTCGGCTTTGCTGCTTTGGCTAAGTGAAGTTTACATGAGACTAGATAGTGATCTGAGATGTCATCGCTCTGCTGTGGAATTTCAATGGTATCAACATCTATTCCATGTGATAGTATTAGATCTAGAGTATGATTACGACAATGAGTAGGTCCTAACACGTGTTGTCTTACTCCAATTGACTTTATAGTGTCTTTAAATTCCATTGCATGCGTTTTCCAAACAACCCTCAATAGACAACTTCCTGTCGGGCTGTCGTAAAACTTAGAGCACGAAAGTTGTTTAGCCCGATGAGATCTATATGTGTACCGAGTTTCATATTATTACATAAGCGTGTTTGATTTATGGACCAAGTTTAAAGACTCTATTCCAGGGGGCGCTGTTGATCCCCCCTGAGTTTGAGCACGTTAAGGGCCCCAAAAGTGCCCGAATAGTCGCGCCCTTTCAGGGCTTGGGCCCTAATAATCCTAAGGAAAACAATAGGGCCTTCGCCTTTTCAAGACTTGGGCCCTAATAATAATAGAGGTCATGACCACTACTACATATATAATCCAACCAACATTATTATCTTATATAAGCACTGTTTTGGTCATACAATGCTGCCCTACAAAGGCAAAGTGCAGAAACTACACATTTGGTCAAAAATGAGTTAAGACTTGTAATGGGCTTTGTGACATGTTCTGTCTTGTGAAAAAATATCTGGGTTAAATTATGTCCCGTTTCGGAGATGCATTACCACATAATCTACCCATACCTGGCTGGTATAAAAACTTTAAAGGCCTTTTTCTCTGTTTCTTTGTTTGCGTAGTTACTGCACTTTGCCTTTGTAGGGCAGAATGGTTAACCACATACACTTAAAGTAACATTACATTAAAGAGAGGTAAGGCTCACCCTATTTAGGTTGGTCGATCAACATTTTGTTGTCCTAAATGGAACAACTAGTGCTAGCCAGTGTTAGCCAAAGCTCTAAAATCGCAGTTGGTGTATCCTATGCTCCACTCAAAACTGGACTTTAGTCCATTTCTAACCTGATGCAGACTTAAGGTAACATAATCCTTAACTTAATCTACTTGAGAAAATCATTTTTGAGAAAACAATTCAATTGTAACAATCTATTATTAGGCATTAAATGATCTGAAACAAAGAGTAAAAGATGAACTTACAATAAGAATTAAGACAATACTGAGGTGATTGACTCTTGGGTGGGGATGCTAATTTTGCAAGAGAGAGTTCAAATGTTCATTTCCAGAAAAGTCCTTTGTTTTCTCAGTGAGTAGCCCTTTCTGAGTCTAGATAGTCTGTTTTTTATGCTATATGTGAAAAACGACAGAAAGGTTGCAGAACTGCTTGCAGGAACATTTTAATATACAGGTAGAACATTAACATAGATTTTTTCATTTCAGTCTTTTCAAATGCAAAGAGGAACATTTGGAGATCGATGGCGCTTGCACACTGCTATGCATACAATCATCTTTTAGTATGAAGGACAGTCATATTATATTGAAGTGGAACAGATTCACACTAGCTTAATCATATTAAAGGTGGTTTGTGCTGCATATTCAATTTGTGCTCAGTAAATAAACTGCTATGCTGTTTTAATATGCTAAATTAAAACATTTGCCTGTTGTTTTTGCTTAAAGGAATAGTTAATCTGTCCAGATAGCACAGGTACATCTGTAAACTGTCTGCTAAAGATCTATTAATCTGGAAAGCATCTGCTGTGTAAAAAAATCTGATATATGTCTTTTAAATCTTAAACATCATAGACATCTTCTAAATGTCTATATGACATCTAATAGGAAACGTCCTAGAGACGTATTGCAGATGAGCACTCTAAAAAAATACATCTTGCACAGATGTAAATGCAGACATCAAATAGACATCTCCAAGATGTACTTGTGCTATCATTACTCACCTCATGTCATCCCAAACCCGCAAGACTTTCGTTCATTATCTTCGGAACACAAATGAAATCTGAGAGCTTTCTGTCTCTCCTTTGACAGCTCTGCAAATAAAAGCAAATATATGTGAATAAAAGCCTAAATTCAATATTTTCATCAGATGAATCATTCAATTCACATAGATTAGTTTTACGATCTCATATGAACGTTTTAAAGTTTCAAAAGGTTAGTTGTGCAGGCTAGCTGTCAAATAAGGGCCAGAAAGCTGTCAGATTTCATCAAAAAGATCTTCATTTGTGTTCAGAAGATGAACGAAAGTCTTACGGGTTTGGAACTACATGAGGGTAAGTAATTAATGACAGAATTTTTATTTTTGGTTGAACTGTCCCTTTACGCAGTCATTCTTCAATCATTACACCTGTAACCAATTTTGCATAATATTAAAGGTATAGTTTGCTCCTTTTTTCAGAATGACTGTGACAACAGTCGAGGCACAGATTTCAGTTTTAAAAAGAAGATGCTTTCTGCTGCTGGGAAAGATCGGACTGAGCGACAGAACGCCGTTAATGGAAAACGGGACAGTGGGAAAAATGGACACAGTGAAGATGGACAAAAATTACTGACCACTTGATGGCATTTCTGAAAGACTGAATACAATTATGCTGCAGGTTCCATTATTAATGTCAAACATTTCTTTGGCTTTCACAATGTATTACCGATTGATATAGTAATAAAAGATAACTTGCAAAATTATTTGTGGACATGAAAGTATCCACACAAAAAAAACAACAATTTTGACATATCATTTAGAAAGAAAGAAAAAAAAAGTTAAAGTTGTGCTTGAATAGCTTGATGACAGTCTTGACAAAATAAATGATATGTATTTCATCTGTGTCATTAGATCTGTCATTACAGAGAAATATTTGAGGTGTTCTGGGATCATGTAAGCTGCAATGATGACGACATGAGCGTATGTGGAACTGTCTTGTAGAAAAAAAATCAATGTCAAATATAGCTGCGAGCAGCGATTGCGGGCCCAAGCCGGTGGCACCGCAACCCCGGCGCCTTTAGTTACCTAAAGGCACCGGGATGGCGGTAGCGCCAGCTTTGGCCCGCAATCGCTGCTCGCAGCTATATTTAAGTATATATATGGTGCCTTTAGTGTTATTCTGCACGACGTGCAAAAACTTAACCCCCGCTTTTTTAAGTATATATATATATATATATAGGGTTATAGACGCTTTCATCAGACGCGTTGCCATGGTGATGAGCTGGCCCAAAGTTAACTTCCGTTCTGTTCGTTTATTAGTGTTTACTGGATAATATGGCATTGACTACAAATGCAGTGAAAGTTAAGGTGATGAGCAGGTTGTTGAGCTGTGGGGTGCAACCTGACCTAGGGAGCAAACGCAATTTTTAAAAATAAAAATGTCAAGGTTTCCTATGAGGGAGACGGCGGAATTAAAAATAGCCTATGTTTATCTGAGTGGTACAGTGTTTGTTTCCCATACATTTATTAGAGGCAGCCCACCACATTATCAGCGCTGACCGCCACATATTGATTTCCGTGTTTTTAACAATTTAAGATAACTGACTAGGCTACAGAGTTGCGTGCAGCGCATATTCGCATGCTCTCTCTCTCTCTCTCTCTCTCTCTCTCTCGCAAACACATTGACAGCGGACCAGTCTGTGTATTGAATGGTTAGTATCATAAACAGCGCTGCACAGATCCATCCAACATGCTGTCAATGTGGAGACTCACCTTAAAAAAAGGTCAGCAAGCATGTAAGTAGCTATGTTAACCTTATCAAACCGCGCCATCGCGCTCGCCACAGTTTTTTTTTAACACTGCGGTAACTCAGACTTGTCGGTAGAAAAACATCTTGTCTCCAATTTTTGTTTAACGGGTCTGGTAGTGTCACATTTCAGTTTGGCCAGGTAACATTTATTTTCTTTGACTGGCAAGAAATACCAGCTACTAGGTTATTTACTTGTTATGGATTGTCTCCGCAAGTCTGCCGGAAGTTAAGTTTGGGCCAAATTAATGCACATGCGCAGTACCGTTTGTTTCTGTTGTCACTGCTGAAAGCGTCTATTCTGCACGACGTGCATAAACTTAACCCCCGCTTTGACTGTCGAAGAGAAGTGTGCTGAAGAGCTTGCATCAGTGAGGGCTTTGCAAAATATATATATATATATACACACACACACACACACACACATATAAATGAGGTTAGTGTTTTACAATATTAAGGAAAGCAAATATATTGAAATATAGCACACGAATTTTAAGTTCATTCAGCTTCAATTACCAATTTGTAGTTTACCAATTTATCTTACTTTTATTTAAAGCAAACTATACATTTAAAAGATTAGGGTTGTATGCATATTTTGTCATTGAAAAAAATACAAAATTGTTATGCAAAAAGATAAGGACTTGCAGGAAAAATCTACAGTCAGCCACACACACACACACACACACACACACGCACACACACACCCACACACACACACACACACACACACACACACATAAACACAGACACCAGCACCCCCCCCCCCCCCCCTCCTACCCACACAGACACTGATAGAGACAAGATACTAGGGGTGTAACGGTACACAAAAATCACGGTTCGGTACGTACCTCGGTTTTAAAGTCACGGTTCGGTACGTTTTCGATACAGCAAAAAGAAAGAAATGCCAGAGAAATTTCCTATTTGTTCAAAGAAAAAATATTTTTAAATAAGTGTGAGTTTTCCTAGATCTTGAAACTTTCAGGTTTATAAATGGCGGTCATCTTTGAAGGATGAACAAATAATGTTTTGGTCATCACACAAAAAAGGAACAAAAGTTTTCACTGGGGCTGTACCTTTTCAAAAGGTAAACTTTTGTCCATTTCACAAGCTAATAAGTACATTTAGGTGTTAATATGTACATTTTGGGTGCTAATATGTACATTTTAAGAGTTAATATGTACATTTAAGTGTTAATATGTACATTTTAGGTGCTAATATGTCCATTTCAGGAGGTAATATGTCAATTTCATGAGCTAATATGTCCATTTTAGGTGGTAATATGTACATTTGAGGTACTAATATGTACATTTTAAGTGTTAATATGTACATTTTAGGTGCTAATATGTCAATGTCATGAGCTAATATGTCCTTTTCAGGTGGTAATATGTCCATTTTAGGTGCTAATATGTACCACTAAGATACCAATATGCAGCCTTTGGGTACAAAAGTATACCTTTTGAAAAGGTACAGCCCCAGTGACAGCTTTTGTAGCTTTTTTTCTGAGAGTGCATTAAAAATAACATTTAAATATATATTTATTTATATAATATTTGAATTTAGAAGTGCTGGAAAAGATGTGTGAAGTACTTGAAAGCATTTCACCATTCCAGCCAAACTGGTTCCAGTTAGTGTTACTATATTAAATCCGTGGTGAATGTTGCTGGTCTGTGGACGAAAGTATTACTAGTCCATTCACAATGTTTCTCCTGGTTTTCACGTCAGCGCTGTTTGATCTAATAGAGATCTACGGTTAATAACGGAGAAATGTGAACGCTTCTCACTAGATCTCGCAGCGATGTTATTACCTCAGTGGCGAATTCAAATGTGTTCTTTCGCTGTGTAGTAACAGTGTTGCTTGATCGAGATCGGCTCGCGCTGCACAGGTGTTGCTGGTCCGAACTGATAAACGATCCATGAAGCACATAACAAGTAGCGCAGTTTCGTTCTGCTTTCATTACGCTTTCCATTTGATGTCGCGCAACGTTGTGTTGGCCGCGTCAGCACGAATTTTGCCGGCAGGAAAAATGGTCCAAGCAATCGTTCGGTTTGTATGCGTACCGAACCGGAAGCCTCGAACCGAAACGGTTCAATACGAATACATGTACCGTTACACCCCTACAAGATACACATCCAAACTGCAATATCTGACTTTCTTTCGGTCTGAGCTTCTTACTGTTAATTAGAAAGTTGATCGGCTTGACAAGAACAATATACGTGGCAAGTTTTGTAACTGTAGGTAAAATGGGCAAAGTTATAACACATTTTATGTCCTTTTTTAGTCATAAAATTCATTTCCTCACCACGGCCAAACCGTTCGAGAAATCAAAAATCGTCCGAAATTGACCCTTCGCTAAGCCACGCCCGAAAACCGCCACTGGCCAATCATGTCTTAGCAACCGTAACTATTCGCGGGAGGTCTGTCAAGCTTTCGAACGACGGAACATGCTGAAGCATTGTGCGTATGGATTGTGCAAATCTGATACCGGTATACTAAAAGTTTGGACGGGGGAGAGGAGTTGTTTTCCTTCCAGAAAATCTAAAAGCCATGGGGAGAAATGATTGGCGTGATCTAGCATCTATGTGCGAGACCCATTCTGGTAAATGTCGACATGCTTAACAAAAACACCTATTCTATTGCTTGGAAATATTGACGGTTCTTTGGTCATAATGATACAACGTAAAATAAGACAATTAAAGAGACAAGACAAAGGCTCACTGACATAGGCTACTTTAAAATATATTTCAGTATTTTGTTAATCGACGTCCTACTAATGTGACCCCTAACTTAACCCAATCCGATCGCGGCTCTCCCGGTATTAGTGTTATTTCACAAGATTTATTGATAAGCTGTTTGATTTATAATTATTAAGATTATTTTCACATACCCTGCTGTGTATGAACATAGCTGTTACTCAATTTGTGTTTTCCATTTGAACGGTCAGCGTATGAGGCGCTGCTGCTTGCGCTGGGACTATAACGTTAGGCTTTAACTTCAATTTTTAAGAGATTATTCTCTACTCGTTTGCATATAATGTCGTGAATATATCCCTCGAATGCATACTGTAGTCCATTTTGTCTTGCTCTCTCAGATATTTCACTTGTTCGCCGAAAATTACCAATTATCTCATTGGGAATGTCTGACACCGGGTGCATCCACAATATAATAGATGGGCCAGCCGCGAAAGCTTGACAGGGGCTTAGCGAAGGGGCTTAGCGAAGGGTCAATTGAGCATCCTCAATGTCTTGACTTCATGCATACCGAGTTTGGTGGTGATTGGTAAACACATGCGTTGTAATTTGATGTATTTCTCCTAGGAGATTTATTCAAACAACCCATAATTCCTGACTTCCATTTGAACTGTCTTAAAACTTAGAGCATGAAAGTTGCACAGATGGGACCAAGTCACACATGTGCAAGTCTCAAGTAAGTCTCAAGTCTTAACCGTCAAGTCTCAAGTAAGTCCCAAGTATTTTTGGGAGGGGCAAGTCAAGTCAAGTCACAGGCTATGTCAAGTCAAGTCAAGTCAAGTCTTGTAGTAGGTTAAGTCAAGTGCAAGTCAAGTCACCTTATTATTTTAATTTTACATGCAGAATCTGATCTTAATAAAGTGAAAAGACAAGATAAGTATTTGCCAGTAAATTACAATAATTTGCATTGTAAATACTCATGTTTAGTAAAATACACCATGGAATCAAACAAAATTGTAACTTCATAAAATTATTTATTTTTTACTTCTGCCAACAGTGTGTTTGAAATGTTTTAAATTTTCAACATTGAGTCCATAAAACAAATAGTCTCAGCCTCAGACGTCACGCCCACGGAACGTTGGCTAAACGTCTGATGCATATGGTACACTTAACTGGAAACACTTCAGGAATGTCGAAGTCATCATCTGATTGGTTGAATTTTATCGGATTTCCGGGGGGCGTCAGTGTCGCGTTTATTTTCGGTCCGCCGGGAAACAAAGTGCAGACGTGTGATTGCGGAGAAAAACTGTTGTGTTTATATGAGTGACAATGAGCATTTATCAAGATCAGCTAAACGTAGTTGTCCCCTCCTATCTATTATGGAAGATCAAGTGAAGTACTTAATTGCGAAGGGGATATCAGCCGCGTTTGTGGGCAAACATGAAACAACAGACGCTGACATCGCAGCTGGCCGATTCAGTATTCATATATAGGGCACACA